ATATATTTATTATAATGTTCTTAAACTCCAACTCCTAACTTGATTTACTTTCAAGATTTTTGGAATTTCACTATTATTTTTCTCTTACATCAAATCTTTTTGCCGAACACCTAGTCGGCTATATATATTGTAGTTGAAAGTGAAAATTATATAATAAAAAAATAAATATGTAATTTATAAAAATCTTGGAAGTAAATCAAGTTAGAAGTTAAACTATAACAACACCGGACAATTAGAATGTATTATATGATATAAAACGACGTAGTATAGTGAGTTTGAGTACCTAAGCTTATATACCCTTAAGGGTATATTCACTTTTCCATATATATATATATATATATTATATATATATATATATATATATATATATATATATATATATATATATATATTATATATATATATACCCAGTTTGGTTTCACTTGATAAATATATCATTCTCCATAACATTTCATTCATCATTATCGTTCTATCATCTCCATTTTTTTCCTCAATTATCGTTTCTTACTTCATCCAAGTGAATATTACTAAACCCTAAACCTAAAGCTAAACCCTAAATTTAAACCCTAAACACTAAAGCTAAACCCTAAATCTAAACACTAAACCCTAAACCCTAAACCCTAAACCCTAAACCTTAGCCCTAAACCCTAAACCCTAAAAATAAACTTAAACCCTAAACCCTACTGTGTCGATCTTGAATTTACATCTTGAAGTATTAATCTTGAATCCATTAACCGTAATCTTTATATAGTAAAACAATGTATTTTCAAGAGGTTTAGTACCTAAGCTTAGGTAAAGCTGTAATATATATTCCCTTTTTCCCATATATATATATATATATATATATATATATATATATATATATATATATATATATATAATATATATATATATATATATATATATATATATATATATATATATATATATATATAGTTAGTTAGTTAGATGTAAATAAATCGAAAAATTATTTACCTAACTTAGTGGATATATATTTTCCCATTTTTTATCTTCTAATTCATTTATGGAATAATGACTTGAAAGGGTAACGAACTTTTGACTTTGTTCACATTTAGTCATTAAACTTTTTTTCGTTATCTATTTGCCATTGAGCTATTGAAACTGTTCACATTTTACCCTTATGACCGGCTGTTACCGGTCATAAGGGTAAAATGTGAACAGTTTCAATAGTTTAGTGGCAAATAGATAACGAAAAAAAGTTTAGTGACTAAATGTGAACATAATCGAAAGCTTGTTTCCCTCTAAAAAGTTCAATAGCTAAATGTGAACAAACTTCCTATTGTATTATGTTTTAGCAAATTATTTATTTTTGTTTAATTGTAGCAATATTTGTTGATGAAGAAATCTATGAAATAAAAAAAACAAAATGTAACATCAGGATTTCCATATATCATAATTTAAGTATTTTTCTTTTGAGTTAAGAAGAGAGACTCGACGAGTTGACGCCTCAACTCATCGAGTAAGGTTGCAACTGATGACTCGGATTAATGAATGGACTCGACGAGTCGGTGAGGCGACTCGACGAGTCCGCGCTATTGGCATAAACCCTAAATCTTTGGGCCCGAGCCATATTTAAAGACACTTATGGCCTTCAATTGCGACTACCTTTCCCATAAGTGAGAACCTTAGCGAGCTTGAGTGTGTAGAGTGAGGGGAAGAGCTATCTTGAGCTTTTTGGTGTGATTTTGCAAGAAAGGAGAAGAGTTCCAGCAAGAGGGACCAAGGAAGGTTATTGTTTTGAGTTATTCAAGCAAGGAGGTGCATTCTGAGGTACAAAAATGAACCCCTTTCCTTCCCTATTGTGTAGATTCCATTTTGGGGTTAGGGCTTGAATCACTTCATCTTTGGGGTTTTGAATGCCTCAAACCCCTCTTGCAAATTTGTGTTATAGATTTGGACCCTTCTAGGTCCAAAGAGTCGAGAATATGAAGCTTTAGTAGAGTAAACGTTGGCACCTAGAAGGGTCCATATTCCTAACTTCAAACCCCAAGGTTTACTCTACTAAAGCTTCATATTCTCGACTCTCTGGACCTAGAAAGGTCCAGATCTATAACACAAATTTGCAAGAGGGGTTTGAGGCATTCAAAACCCCAAAGATGAAGTGATTCAAGCCCTAACCCCAAAATGGAATCTACACAATAGGGAAGGAAAAGGGTTCATTTTGTACCTTAGAATGCAGCTCCTTGCTTGAATAACTCAGAACAATAACCTTCCTTGGTCCCTCTTGCTGGACCCTTCTAGGTCCAGAGAGTCGAGAATATGTAGCTTTAGTAGAGTAAACCTTGGGGTTTGAAGTTAGGAATATGGACCCTTCTAGGTCCAGAGAGCCGAGAATATGAAGCTTTAGTAGAGTAAACCTTGGGGTTTGAAGTTAGGAAGCATTTATGGGATTTTTATGATATATATAATTACTTTCATCTTACACATAGATATGAAATATTTATGGTATATATTGTTACTTTCGGTTTTTTGTTTTTTTTTTTTAATATATTTTTAGGGTTTTTTTTTTTTTTTTTTTTTTTTTATATATCATAGATTTCTTCATCAACAAATGTTGCTACAATTTAACAAAAATAAATAATTTGCTAAAACATAATACAAGAGGAAGTTTGTTCACATTTAGTCATTGAACTTTTTAGAGGGAAATAAACTTTTGATTTTGTTCATATTTAGTCACTAAACTTTTTTTCGTTATCTATTGGCACTAAACTATTGAAACTATTCATATTTTACCCTTATGACTGGTAACAGCCGGTAATAAGAGTAAAATGTGAACAGTTTCAATAGTTCAATGGCAAATAAATAACGAAAAAAATTTAGTGACTAAAAGTGAAAAAAATCGAAAATTCGTTACTCTTTTATATCATTATCCCTTCATTTATTGTTGCTATTTATAACAAAGATTCAAATTTGAACATTTCATCTTTTAAACGAAGTTCGTTGGGATCTGACACAATAATAAGTGAATAAATTCACACTAACTTAAATTGACTTCTTGACCGACTTTTTTCCTTTTACGTCATGACATAACCTTCATATCAACCTTCAAGCATTATTACAATAGATTGTTCTACAACATTAAAGTATCCATTCAATATCATATTCCATATTTTTCTATATGAAGAAAATAAATACGAAAATTGAAAAGCAGCAACATAAAAATTATACCATTTTGGTGGCTCATAGGTAAAACTTGGGCTATCCATAGGAATGTCTTAATTTCAAACTTTGAGGTTTTAAAGGTGTACTAGAAAAAAGATGCAACATAGTTCTAAAAGCGATTATTTAGTATCGTAGAAAAAAATATATATTATTTTAGAATATCTCACCTACTAATACATTCTAATATATAAATATATAAATTATACTTTCTCAATCCTAAAATCAATGAGTTATTTTAAAATATTTCGCCTACTAATACATTCTGATATTTTATTAGATAATAAATTAAGCATGACATTAAAATAATTATATTAATAATAAAGATCTTTAGGTACTTAAACCGTTTTAATCAACTAAATAAATATGAGAACACGTACATTAATTAAATTAAACGTTTTTGTTTACATAAATAAAGAGGATATGATATAAGATAAGAAATCTTATAAATTTTCTAGGTAACAGATGTCAAGTAAATTTAACCCTTCGTTTCTAGGATGACAGGTGAAAAACAAAAGTCAAAGCACGCCGTCCATTATCTCGACTTGACTTCGTAATTTTATTTTCATGGGATTTTCCTTGCAAACCAAGTAAACCGAGTTTTTATTTATTTATTTATTTATTATTATTATTATTATTATTATTATTATTTTATAATTTGGTGTAATCTTTTTAAGTTTAAGCATAAAACAGAATTCAAATTTATATATAGTTTTTATAATACACATATATAATTCATTCGGTTTTTAGTTTGAAATTAAACCCTGGATTAAAAAAGCTGAATACAAATTTGAAATTTACATTAATTCTGTTTGTGCATAAACCCCATCAGATATCATCCCAAAAGGCTTTGGAAGTGATATATATGTATATATATATATATATATATATATATATATATATATATATATATATATATATATATATATATATATATATATATATATATATATATATATATTATCCCTTATCTTGTACATATAAGGTTCAAAAATTATACATACGTACACATGAAATCTAAGTGTTTATGTTTTGTGATGAAATGTATTGTCGTGAAGAATATCTCCAATCTTTGAGATCATGTACTAAGGTATTCAACAAAATCTGCTCACCTGTTTCTTTGTAATTTCTTATGATCAAGGTTATTATGTTTTTATTAGCTCCACATTGTGTAATTTAAATCCACTTCCACAAATTTTAACCAATCTGTAAAAAATCATGTTTATTTTAGATTGTGGGAGGGACAATATTTTAAGTGATAATCACAAATATGATTTTCATTTAACAAATAGACCGTTTATTTTGTCTCTTGACAAACTGACCATCAGATCTACAATGGGATCGATTGCAAATTACAAAATTGTTTGATGACCGGTCCCTACCACAAAACCGTAAAAAGAATAAATAAAATTTAGAAAAGAAATAATTATATCGTGAAATTGTTTTTTTTTTTTTTTTTTTTGCAAAATGCCGTCATCATTCCACTAGATATGAACAATTTTGCAAAGTATATTTGGGTGGGTAAATAGTAAATGGTATTAGTTATGGCTTATTGTTTGCCTAAGCCCAACCTAAGCCCAAGCCCAAGCCCAATGTGTCTCCACCCCCATCAACGATCAACATAAGGAAGTTAATAATTATTGAAATATCAAATATGTACGACACGAGTTCAATCTTGGTGTATGATAATATGAATAGTCTACGCAGGGTGTAAAAGGTTGATGTTATTTCATTTAAGAATTTTTAAATTTAAAAGTATAATGAATGGCATAATAACCATTTTAGCAAAGTTTGATATAAATGACAATGCTTTAAAAGTCGTATGACGGAAAAACCAAACTAAATCGATCTATTTTCTTTTCTTCCTTTAATGAAAGGAATTCCATATTTCGTTACATTATTCCTCGTATATCAAAACAAATCAATCACAAATCCAAATGAAAACCAATAAGTAAACTCGTTTCCAATATACAACTAGAAAGGAATAACTGAATTTACTATAATTTCTATTTCTATATAATTAATGACTTAATTTTCCTTTAAAACCCCATGATAAAAAATAAAAATATGCTCATCGTTTTCCAAACATCCCTTGTGTTAACGACAAGAAGTCGTAATCACCTCCTAATTGAGTCGGAAGGCTTAGCTGTCCCACGGATGTCGTGGACGGTCTACTTCCTCCTAAAGTTTTTGTACCCGGGACAACTCGACTTCCACCATACATACTACATACCAAAAAAAACATAAAAAAATATTTTAACATGTTGTACTGCGTGTGACATGCATTGGACTGAGTCTGTAACTGTAACTTAACTGATATCAACGAGACAAAAGTTATTATTTTTTGTCCCACCCAAAAAGATAATTCCTTATAAGACATGTCATGACAGAAAAACATGACATGCCTAACAGAATATAATATGACAGATCAGATCAGGTTGTACAGATTGTTCAGTGTAGTAGATTCATGATGATTACCTGGATGTGGTGTAAAAACCGGGATTCCCGATAGGTTGTGAAGATTTGATGTTTCCGATTTGCTAACATGGACAAACAAACTGATTTTAACTTTGATGGTTCGGTAATTTATATAAAATTGTAATTATCATATTTTATTATTATTGAACCTGATTCGGAAGACGGTGGAATCCGTTGGTGCCATTTTGATGATTACCCATGACCTTATATTGTTGTTGCGGGACCGGAAGCGGTTGCATTGTAGTTGACTAATCAAAAAGTTGTCAAAAAAAAAAAGCTGTCAGAATAGAACAGAACAGGTTGTACTGCATTCAGCATATACTGAGATATGGAGTCCAAGACAAAAATTGCAATTTCTTGTCTAACCCAAAAAAGACGGGACATCCGACATAGACTACCTCTCAAACTCTCATCTGTGCAAAAAGACATAAACGCCCATCGTCATTGTCATATCTTTAAAAAACAAACATACCTTTTCGAAAAGTTTCATGGTGTCGTTTTTTACTTGTGTACAAGGTTCTTGGGCAACCCAATCTAATCCATCAAAAAGATCCTCAAATTCAGACTTCACTTTGTTACTTGATTTCTTCGCATCATTGTCTAACGCTGCGATATTTAGATCAATGAAATCTTTTAATCCGCTTTGTGAAAAGACTAAAGTACCCATTAAGGTACAACTTGTAATACACATGGCACAAGCTAAAACAACAGAAAAGATCCTTACTTTGGGTTTTTGCTTGTGGATCCTCATTGCTAGAAGAAGGTTTGAAGCCATTTGCATCCACAGGGGGAATATCAAAAAGATCAGTGGCATTATAGTCATTATTAACCTTTTGATCTGGTACAACCACAATAGCTTTACTTTCCTCTGGTTTTAACTCGGGTTTGATTTGTTTTGGTTGTATAATGACCTATACATTTCATGGGTCAAACTAATGTTACTACCAAATTATTTGAAATAAGTGAATAATGTAAAGTCAACCAAAACAGTACCTGTTGGTCAACAACTTTAGAAGAAGGAAGAGGAGGTGTTGTTTTGTTCACATTGTAAAGTTGAGGGGTCTGTTTTGGCTCAGGGAAAAGAACAATGGCCTTAGTTGTGGTCCCGGGTTTATAAAGTGGAACATTCTCTTTTCGTATTATACTCAAATGAGTTTCAACTTTCTGCTCTCGAGAAATCCATCTCTTGTCTACATACCTGATCAAAATCATTTATTTATTATTATTTATTTTTATTTTTATTTTTATTTTAGCAAGAAAGAGAAAACATACTTTGCACGAATGAAATTTTCAATCCCAACTCTATCGTATTTAGGAGGCAACTCGGCTTCCCAAAAGCTATTTGATTTCTTATTTCCCATACCTGCAAAAACCAAAAATAAACTTTTTTTTTTTTTTTTTTTTTTATAAATTCATCGACCCTTTATTTTTATTTTAAGCAATATTTTACAAATTACAATGATTTCTTTGAAATCTAAAGACATACAATGATTTAAAATGTTAACAACTTACTCTGTATAAATGCAATTTGATCTGGTAGCCATGTATCAAGTGTAGCAGATCTCACCTAAAAAAAAAAACAAAAATAAAAATCAATAAAAGATTCAATAATTTTTATAATTAAAAGTTCTTGTTGACCTTTGATATGTGTACTCCAAGACTTCTATGAACTCCAGAACATTGCATACATATAAAAATCCCAAGATTTACACTCGCCCATCTTGGACCCCTGAAATCATAATGTAACATTTTGAATAATCCGCATAAAATGTAATAATTTTCTTGAAAAATAACAAAAGAATTTATTTTTTTACTGTGTTAAAATACCATGCCACCTACATGCTTTTGCATTCAGCACATTCCCTATTCTCTGGTAATTTAAGTAACCCCTCAAGTATCTGCATGATAAGACCAATAAGAAAGTAAATTAAGCAAAAAGTTTTGTATTTCATACTTTGGCCCCAACACTTTTCTATATTGGCAGTTTTGGTCCCTAGACTTTTGTTTTTGTGCAGGTTTGGTCCCCCTGCTTGTATCACCCTAGTTATTACTAAAGGTAATCATAATTTATGTCCAGAAGATTTTACTTATTATCTAGCACTAAACACCAACAATTGAAAGAGAATGAATAATTTTCAACAATCAAACAAACAAATTGATATTCCTTAAAAGTACTACTATTATGAATTATGAGATGTTGTGTCCTATAAGAGTTACAACTCATTAAAGTGGGCCCTAGTGCCAATACCATATTAGCATCAACTGTTATTTTTTGACAGCTATGTTACCAACTTACAACTGAATACAAACACAAAAAAGAAGCTCATATAACTGTTTGATTCAATTAATGATTTTATCTCTTTGTTTAATATATTACAACATCATGTGACCCTTTTGTGAATTCTTAATACTGCCGATTTGCAAGAAAACAAACTCCATCGATAATTCCTAGAATTCTTTTAAGTTCTTTTCTTTTATATTTCGGAAAAAGATTCCGACTTTTGCTACTAAATGGTAAAATATGTATGCCAAAAGTCAATTTTAGGTGTGACACATATTCTGAGCTTTTCTTTTTCATTGTTTTTGTAGGCGAATTAGGACAACTGCTCTTGATATACAATTTTTTCAGCTGAAGCAATATAGCATAATCACTTTGGAGTTGTCTATTATTGCTATGAGAAGATGCTTTACCTACTAGAGACACAATTATTGTAACCTCTCATTTGTACTTACAGCTTGTGCACCATGCATAAGTGGTTGTACTTCTAATAAAAATTGGATATTTTGACTTTTTGTAGATAAAAGAATTTGGACAACTGCTCATTATATTATTTACTCTTTAAATTTCAACTACCCTATCAACAACCCAATTATTGATAACTTTCATTTATGCTTCATGACTTGTATTCTATGCATTGCTAGTTGTACTAAAAGATGGAACTTTTGACTATGTTGACAAATGAATTAAGACAACTTTTCTTATAAAGAATGTTCTTTCTTGCCAAATTTCAACCAACTATTCCATTAGGATATTATTACTTATCATGCATCAAAAGTTGTAGGATAAGGAAATGCAAGTTTTGGTTTTGTGCCTGTTCAAACAACTTTTATTGCACCCAAGTATAGCTTAATGAGCACAAAAGGGCATCCACAAAAATTAAAACCATTTATTATGAATTTACGATATATTATGAGAATCAACATCAATTTGAAAAATCAAAACTCAATTCTGAATTCTAAAAGTGAGGTTTGATAAACCAAGCACATATGAATCTAAATACCTAATTGATAATTGAAGAGCAGTGTATAGAGAGCTGAAGTGTGATGGTGGTAAAATTAATGAAGATCACAGCTGAAATCATATTCTTAGACACCAAATCACAGATAATTTCGACAATCAGCCATAGAAATATCCATTTTTTTAAGAAACAGTAAAATCTTAAACACCCCCACAAATGGAAAAAAGCAATGGCAATTATAGAAATTAAATATGTTTTCCCTAAAACGTTTCTTTATTGATTTAGTCGTAACCTTGTGAACCAGCTGATATAGTAAATCATACAGAAACTACGGCAATCTCATATGAATTTACAAGCGAAATTGATAGCACAACAAAAATCGTTTGGAAATTGGAATAAAAAGTCAAAACTGAAATCATATAACTAAACGCCAAATCAATCATAGTTTCTCCAAACAACCATATAAAATTACCAAAAAAGGTTTATGAAACAGTGCAAGCAAAATAAAAAAAATAAAAAAATAAAAAAAAAATGAACGGAGAAGGAACGCGAATGATAGAAAGCAAACCTTTCTGTGTTTTTCATTAAGCTCTTTACTAACGCGCGCTTTCTGATTCATGTTGCAGAATCAGTTGTGTGGCTATGTGGAATTGTAGATTGAAGAAGAGAAGAAGAAGAATTTGTTGAAGGGAGATTTTAGAAATGTTAAACTGCGCGTGAGAGAAAGAGAGATTCCTTGGTTTGTTTGGAGTTTTTTTGGGCTTGCGTGGATATGCAGGCCTCTCTTCTTTTTAAATATTTTATTTTATTTTACAACTTATTATTAAAATCTAAAGACTAGTTTTCATAATGGTCTATGTGGTTTGTAGTAGTATTAAGTTTGATTCCTAATTTTTGTTTTGTCTTCAAATATGGTCCTTGTGGTTTGCTTGTGGTTTGAATGCTTTTTGCTGACGGTCCTTTTGGCCCATTTAGCCAATTCCGTCGAACTGGAATGGGTTAAGCGGTGATCATCATCTTCTTGTACATGATGCCACTAAAGCCAAAGGGATCATCAAAGAAAAATCAAACCATATATCAGGGATCATATAAATATTCCTATAAACCACAAAAAGTTTTCAAACCACATGAACAATATAAGAAGTCGTATGATTTGTATTGAGTCGTTAAGAAGTTGTGTCTAACTCGGTTTCAGACTGTTGAATACCGCAATTAAAAGTCTTTTGATTTGGTCTTATCACCTTTGATATACCTTTTACGGGATTTGATAAGAGGCTAGATCTGATTCAATCATATATTTACTTAATCAGATCTTACTCAATTAACAACTATTAAACAGTCTCTAAGTTATATACGAAACTATATTCATTCTATATTCTTATATAGAGGAAGTTACAAATTAGGTCTTTATGCTTTATAAAAAATAATATTTCGCTACAAAATTTTAAATTATCCCAACATTATCATTATATTAGCATTTCGTTGTAGGTATCATCCTATCCAATAAAAAAAAAACTAAATTTGAAATTTGGATTAAACATGTAATTTTAAGTAAATCACATCGGCCATATAAACATGAAATGCAAACGATGATATTTGCATAATTTTAAATTTTCAACTGAACTTACAATTCTATGTAATTTACTCTATTTTATAAATTTTATAAATGGTCCCTATGATTTTACAAAAATTGCATTTTCAAGATACTTGTAGGAAACAAACGTCGGTGGTCCTATTGGTTTCTAAATGTTATGTGGTTGGTATTTTGGATGTTAAATCTAACTTTTGTGATGTTAATATTTTTAAAAAGACATTTACCCTTAAACTAACTATGAAAAATGTAATATACTACATGGACTATTTTTGTAATTTGATTAATATGAATAAAAAAACATTTAATATTTTTTGGTTCTTCTCTTTTTTTTCTTCAATCCACCAAATAGATTTGTAACGTCCATGTTTCTGGTATGTAATTTATTCTGACTTTAATATGTTTAATTCGTTGAAATCTTAAAATTGAGAATCTAGCATTTGTCGCAAGTGGGCGTGGGACATTACTTATAGGGCACAATGCGCTTAGGCTCATAGATTGATTATTCTATTTAGGGTGTGGAGGGTATTAAAAGGTCATTAACCCTTAGAGTTTATTCATTCTCAGTATTTATCACCCTTATAACGATTCTTGAGAAACTATAGCCTCTCTTTCTTAGGTTTGAGCATCTCCTCTCTCTTCGTATCTATTTGGCGTGCTTTTGGTGATACTAAAGTGAAGGATTATTTGTATTAGGGAGCTTTGCGACTGAAGATCTTAACCTTTATCTATCTTATGGACCTCTGTAAGTAACATAGATCCTTGCTTTTTGATATCTCATATTTGAAATTAGAAGATATTGATGTTTTAGTCCATTTTTTTTAGTGTTTTGGTCCCTTTAATGGTTTAATCTTTGGAGTTTAGACAACTTTGTGATCTATGAATCATTCTAAACTTCAGATATTATCTTTTGGTTGAGTTTGAGAGCATAAAAAGAGATTTCTTTACTCCTTTCATGTCGAAAATGAGATCTTAGACTTTTAGGAAACTATGGTTTTAGATCCAGTGAGTTTGGGTGGTTTGAATGGATAAAGTTGGAAACTTTATCCATTAATACATCATTCATGACCATATTTAAGAATTAGAGACATGAACTTAATGGATTAATTCACAAAAATTAATTTGGGACTGCCTGGGTACGGCATGCCTATTTAGGGAGCTGGTTCACCTTTGAGTTTTCAGAAGACGTGTCTGTTTAAGACCAGGACCCAACTATTTTGTTGTTTTGAGAGACGTGGTGTGTATGTTTGTATGCGTGGCATACCTTCTGACCAATTGATGACTTTTGACTTTTTTGTTAAAGTTTGACCACAAGTCAAACTTTAAGGTAAAGGTCATGTCTAAGGTTGACCTTTTTGTCGATATTTAGATGGTTGTGGGACCAACCTTCACATTTCGTACGATCTGTAGAGATTACATGCTCCGTCCATGAGGTGGGTTCTCTTACTATACTATTTACTATAGTATAGGTCCTAGAGTGCTAGGATGTGATCAAAATGTGGTATGTTGTTAGGTAGGTAGACTTATAAGTTATTACATGTGTCACACCCCTGAACCGGAACGGCGGAAACTTCTGAGGGCGGAGAACATCGTTGGACAGTATCATAATAATTGAATATAAATGAAACAAGCATCATAACCATTACATTGAATAGTAAATAAGTTTAGATTATACTCAAATGTTGTTTACATGACACCATATGCATGTGACAAAATGAATGAAATGATGTGAATACGTCCCATCCTCCAAAATACTCTCTCGGTTACATGTTTACTGGTTTCCTGAGAATACAAGTGATTTTGAAAAGCATCAACAATTAAGTTGGTGAGTTCATAAGCGTTTTTGTATGAGAAGGAGTTTATAACTGTTTCTTGTAAAATGATAATGTATACTTCCAGAAAATCCAATATTTTCTTTATAAACGAGTTGGAGTCTTAAAACCCTTAGACCAAAAATGTATAAGTATTGTTGTACACGAAAGTAGTAATATGTAGTTTTATTCATATATAACACCATTTGAAGCATGTTTGTTATGTATAAACTGTATTATACGGGGAAACTATATAACGTAGTTTTATGTAAATAAAACTATTGAAGATATTTTGACCCGTAAATCAAATGTTTGTTGATACTCTATGTAAGTTATTATAATCATACTAATGTGACTAGTTGCCTGAACGACGCGCTTCGAAAGTCGAAACTGTTTACGACATTTGTCACCCCAGACCTACCGGTCTAACTGTAGCTAACAGTTTAGGTGTGTGGTTGTCAATCATGTGTATATCTATACACAAGTGTCACGCTCTCCCTACAAGAGACTCTAGTTATAATACAGGTCTTAGTATGTGTACTTTGGTGGGTACGGTGAAGCCTAATGTCTCACAACCAATATCCATCAATTTACGTAAATTGAAAATGTAGTTTTGTGTCTCCCAAACTATACTAATTATAATTTATCATGTGTGTTTGTCTAGAACATTTATATAATCCTTTACATAATTAAATAGTAATATGCTTGTTTAGTTTCATTTGTAAGATCAAACCTCATATTTTGGGTTAAAACCCACAAGATAGTGGAACAAATAAAATGCACTCCTTTTTGGTGGAAAAAACCAAAAAACTATATTTTTGGTAAAAAAAACTCGAAAAACTTTATAATTTTTGTAAATCATAACTTTTCTCATAATTTTTATAGCATAGTTCTAGTTGTATTTTTGTTAGTTTTACACTTGAAAACTAATATAACACAAATATTTTTACAAAACTAGTAATAATCACATCTTATGTAAATAAAGGCTTATTCTTTAACATAAAGATAAAACATGAAAATATTTGTAAGATAAACAAAATTTTACTTGTATTCCCCCTCCCCCCCCCCCCCCCCCTTCTAAAAAAATGAAAAAGCTTGAAAATGTGGGGGTTTGAACTCACCTTAAGTGGATTTGTGGGTTGTTTGAAGTGATGAAGTGAAGATTTCAAGCCTAAACTCTTGAATGGAGTTGATGAACTTCCTTGGGGGTGATATTATCTTAAGGGTTTAACACATAATATTGTGTGTAAATAGGATGAACTTAACATAAAATGTATAGGATTCTAGATAATATCGAAATTACTTACCAAAATCTAAGAACAATGCTTGAAGATTTTTGGAACTTGGAATCTTGCACTTGGTTATTTGAGAGAAAAGGAAAGTGTCACACCCCCAAACCGGAACGGTGGAAACGTTCGGGGGCAAAGGACGTCATGCTCAGTATCATAACCATAGTGAAGAAAGTAAACACAATCATCATAAATACAATTTAAAAGGTTACATCGTTGCAAAAATACATGTTTCCAAATAAATTACATATGATGTCAAAATAGTTCAAAAGAAATATGTGCCTTAGCGTCATACCTTCAAAAATATTGTGGTTACCTGTATTACTGATTACCTGAGAATACAAGTTGTTTTTGAAAGAGTATCAACATCAAAGCTGGTGAGTTCATAAACAATTTATGAATAAAAAAAAATGAATGTTGTTCCTTAAAGTTTGTTTCCAGAAAATCCAATATTTTCAAAAAGGTTTATTGTAGTCTTAACTGAACCAAGACTTAGTATACGTAAGTAAAATTTTCATACTTATGTGTGGTTTTATATTTAAATAAAACTCCTTTTTATGAAATCATTAATTTCCCGTGAACTGTGGTGTTTTGTGAATTCCCCATGTAAGTTGTTATAACCATGCTAAGACTCGAAGACCTACTTACTCGACGTTCTTCAAGCGTCGGAATGTTATGACACTTGTCACCCCAGACCTGTCGGTCTAGCTGTTGCAAGCAGCTTAGGTGCGGGTTGTCAAACCCAATATAGATCTATACACAACTATCACGCTCTCCCTACGAGATTATGGCTATAACTACAGGACTTTTCTGTTGTACTTAAGAGTACTCCGAAGGTGAATGTCTCACAAATTTATTCATTAACATGTTCACGAAGTTTGTAATAAAATATCCGCTTTGTAAATCGATTTGTATTACCATTTCTTTGTTAATGAGGTGTCCAAACTATACTTATTATAGTTTATCAAAATGTTTTATGTTGTAAATGAAACCTTATTATGCATGACATTGTATTTCAATAAAAATACATTGAAAATGCTAAGTATAAAATCTTACACACCTTGATCAACATGTTACAAGGTGTGAGTAACTCTTAGACTCATTTGAACAGATTTACTCTTAACTGTCACTATTTTAGAATATTTATAGAGAAATCATCGTAAGTCAAAAATTGAATCTGTAAAATCGGAGAGTTTGGAAAAAGAGTCTACTGTGTTCATGAATTTTGTCTCAAACCAGTGTGAAAATGTTCATCTTCACAACCTGGTCCGATTTCGTTGCTGCTGTGATAGACAGTTTTGTAAAAATCACCATAAATTGTAGGAAAATCATATGGAGATGTGCAGGTAGTTGTTTTAAAGGTATAAACCTGAAATATTTTAATTTTGAAAATTTTTGAAAAATATTATGTTTAAGTTGGCTAAAACAGTTCGTGAACAGGTCACAACTTTTCTGTTATAAGCTATCAAGTTAAGTTTCAAATATCTTTTGGTGTTTTAACTTGTATCCCCCCCCCCCCCTCTGAAAACTAAAGAAAACTAGAAAATGTAGGGGTATGAACTCACCTTGAGTGATTCTTTGAAGAATGGGAGGTCGAAGACGAGGAGTATCAAGTCAAGAACACTTGATGAACACGTAGAGGCTTGGATGATCCTAACAACGATTTTTGGTGTTAAAATGTGTGTAGATGATTTAAGAGTGTTGTGAAAACATGGAGTCACACTTTATTTGAGATGAAATACTTACCAAAAAGTGAAGTAATAGCTCAAGAACACTTCCAAAAAGTGGTTGGAAGTAGAGAGAAAAAGAGGCTCTTTTGATGGTTTAAGAAGTGTGTAAGTGAAGGATTTGATCAAAGTGAACAAAGAAATCCTCCAGGGATTTCTTTATATAGATGTTGTTGGAGCAACTTGCAAGGTTGAATGAATGTTTGCCTTGGTTAGTGTGATGTGGATAGGGTTGGACTATTGAGGAAGTGACACATGGAAGGCAAATGGGCACATTTGACCCACTTGTAGGGTAAAATATCCTCTTAATATAAAATAATGATTTTTAATTAGTAAATCCTTGAGAAATAAATAAAATACAAGTTTTGGGGGTTTAAAATGGTAAAAATATGAATTTGGTGAAAAATAACCGTAAAAAACGGGCTTAGGAGGCGAAAGTAGTCGAAAACCAGACATTATGGGCCGAACCTGCGAGGTTCGGCTCTTGAAAGTGCTAAGGACCGAAAGTATGGAAGGAACCGAGAGGAGGGGAGGAGGAGCCGAAGGTGCAAGGAGGGGGAACCGAAAGCGAAGCTCAGCTTCTGTCTGCGAGGTTCGGTCCGAGAGTGCGACGTTCGGTTCTGACCTGCTCGCTTCTAACAAGCTCGGTTCTAAGAGGCTTCAGCTCTAAGAGAAGGGTTCGGTTCCTAAGAGGGGTTTCGGCCCTATTTAGCTGTTTTTCGATATAACTCCCCTATTTGAACGGTTTTTGGCCTAGTTAAGGGTTGGGATGACCCGTATGACTATAAAAAATTGGGAGAGATTTGAGAGAGATTCATTTTTAGCTATTATTATCATATAATCTTGCAATGCAAGGTCTGTGAACCCCGTTATACTTCGTTTATGATTATTTTACATCCCCAAAAGGGTCCATAGTCTTGTTTTGATGCGTTTAACTCCCTCCTTAGGGTTTCACATTGATAAACACATAGATTCAGCGAAACACTCGAATTCTTCACATACAAATGTACATTTTCATAGAATAGGTTTTAATCAAACAAGTACTATATAAGATTGACCGGTTCGACTTGTTGACTTGAATTTGACTTGTTGACTTTGACTTGAATTTGACGGTTGTCACAGAAAGTAACAGTAAGCAAAATGGAGAAATGGTGGGCTTTTGGGTGTGATTTCGTCCAATATATAAGGAGTAGAAAGAAAATTGATGTGATATTTACTTTGATAACTATTGGTTATTATATGGATGTATGTTGGTTATTGCGTGGGATACTTTGATTTTGCATGGGAAAAGGAATGAGATATCAAGTCATAAAGTCAACTAACCTTATCTTTTGCTTCTCTTAGACCGAAATCCCTTTGAAATTCCCTTAATATGGCCGAAATCCCAAGTGATTCCGGCCTAGACTTATTTGATTTCGGCCTAGGTGTGTCCTAGGATTGTGATTTCGGTTCTACACCTAATGAACTCCTAAAATCCACCTATGTCCACTTGGGGATTTGAACCCTCGACCTTAAGGAGGGAAGGCAACACCGGATACTGCTAGGCTACAAGCCCTTTGATAGCAATGTACTATCTATTTGAAGAACTTTCTATGTTTATAATGTGTAGATACTTTGAAGTATAATGTATTGATAAAATAACATTATGTTTTGATAGTTTTGAGTTTGTTATAAAATATGTTATTGTCACAACATTTTCAAAGTACAATGCTATATTTGGTACTATTAGTATAGAAAATACAAAAAATGTTGTCAATTAATTTCCTTTGGTATTTTATACAAAGTAAATAGAATATATGAAATGATTAAGTATTATATTGTGTGATTTGTCTACTTCTTTAACACAGTTTTTCTTTTATAAAACCATATTTAGACTTAATGTTTATTTAATTTTGTAGCTTCCAAGCAAAAGGATGATGTGTAATATATCTTTCAAAGCTTCATCTCATAAGTTGCATGAAGTTTTGAGTGGCTTGAACGGACCAGTGCGAGAGATTTTTTCAACAACTAGCTTCGGTTACTTGTTGGATCTACCAGCATAGTCCGGATACGGACTTCTTATTCATGGGTTATTACTTCATATGGTGCGTCCTACTAGTGAAACGGATGCAGCTGAGCATCTACATTTTAGGTTTTCTAGACGTACATTATCATTTGGGTCCGAGGAGTTTTGTATTGTGTTCGGACTTTACATGGTCTAGTGTCCTAGATCAATGATCAAATTTTCAACTATGCATAAACACGGATACGGTGAAAATACATTTCGGTCCAGAGTCTTCCCATATCGCACGGACACTACTTTACTTGTAGAAGATTTAGAACACCTTATCTTGAATCAACGGTTCAATGATATATCGCTCACGACGATGTCCATGCCATTTTGCTATATATCCTCAATCAAGATTTTTTGGGAAAAGAACCCAATGATAAAGTCACCAAGGAATTTTAGTGGGTGGTGGAGAACCTGGATCATTGGAATAGGTATTTGTCAATTTCATATTTATAATAAAATACTATTTTTTATACGTTTAACTAATACTTTTGCATATAATATAGGTTCTCGTGGGGGAGTTATCTATGGACTAAAACATACCCTAGATTGTTGGGTATGTTTAAGAAATTTGAGGATCATATGTCCAAACATCCAACAAAACCTTATGTATATACATTATCGGGTTTTGTTATTCATTTGAAGGTAAAAATATATTTATAAATCTTTTGGTTTTTATTTTTTGATAATTTTAGTTAGTGATAACACTTATAAAGTAATGTATATTTATTACAAGATATGAATATGGGAGATGTTCCCAATAGTTCGTGGATTTGCTGCGATACGACGAAATTATTTATATCCTCGTATCTTGCGGTGGTTTCACATTAGGAGGTTATATTGGGAGAAAGTTTGCGATGTTTTCGATGTTGACAAGGATGAGACACATCAACCCAAAAAAAGATGATTGCCTCAGATGCCGAGTCATCTACTCTACATTATTTGTCATATATTACTAGTCTGAATTCTGAATCGTCTGAAGTCCCTTCTTCTATACGCTACAACTTTAAAAAAGATGTAAGTAAATTGGTAAAAGTATAATCTAGTATATTAAAATTTTCAAGTATTATTGATAAATCAAATAATTTATGTAGGGGGCATCTTCATCTGATCCATCAAGTGGAAACAACCAATCTATCTAGTCCGCCGAAGAAACTCATACGATCGGAATTAACAAAAGAACAGCCCGAGAAATACTGGCAAAACTTCAAACTTTGGAGGAAGAAATCCGAGGAATGAAAAATAAAGGAGGATTTCAAGAAGAGAATGACTTGAATGAATTTTTTAACGAAGCCTTTGAGGTAAAATAATTAATTTTAGAAATTTACTATCAATTCTTAACGAAGCTTTTGAGTTAAAATAATTAATTGTTAAATTTGTTTCGCTTTTTTATTAATTCTTTACTCTTTAAATGTAGGGGAATGAGAATGTGGATGGTACTGATTGGATGCCAAGCCCAGTGATCCAACAATTCGGTAGTCCATGGAAATCAAATCGAGTAAACGATGATGATGATGTTGATAATCCACCGGAGTTTGATCGTAGAAAACAAAAACAAATCGTGAAGAAGGTTATAATTTTTTGTATATTAAATTTTTTACTTTTTCAAAGTATATTAAAAAAAATTAATATGTTTTCTGTAGAAGAAGAAAAAGAAGGTTGTTGTTAACAACATTGTGGATGCGGAAAATCATATACCCGGGCCTCCTATTGCAAAACCAAGTCATCCGGTTAGGCTATTGAAACCTTCTCAACATCTTAGCTCTCCATACGTTTCTATAAATATGTTAAAAATTATATTTACTATAATTTTATTACTATATGGATAATTATTGACTACGTGTATAATGATACGCAATGAACCACCACCCCCCGTATTTGTCAGCAATCCTCCGACACTTTTATTGGAGTCGTATGTGAATCCGGGTTGTATCACCCCTTTTCTATACATGGGAAACAAACCGGCTGTTTTTTTTTAAACATCGGTTATACAATGAAAAAATGGAAGGAAAGTTTTGGGATCTGTTTTTTTATGCAAGTGACTTAGATTTTTAGATGAATCGCTATGAAGATATTTTTTTATATTTAAAATTTAAATAATATATAAGCTCCTTATGTTTAAATTAAATTTAAATGCAACATGTTGACATATGGGGAAGGATTTTGAATGAGCAGAGACCGAACAATGCTCGATGGATAATTGTGTCATTGTCATTTTTTTTGTGCATTCGAGATGTTCCAGTGGGAAGGAAGTGCAATCGGAAATCCGTTTGACCCATTGGATGGATGTAAATCTTGGCTAGAAGTTGACCGTATAAGTAAAGAAATAATATATATTAGTCAATTTAATTGTCATATTACACTAATTAAACGTTGTAATTAATTGCAACGGTTGTGTGTTAAAATATGTTTATTTTCCAATATGCATCAACCCACATCATTAGGTACTTAGAGAGCTATGGACGGACACGTTGTCATTGAATTTGTACGACAGCTTGCGATCTTTTGGCGCCGTGAATATTATTGATTTTGTGCGGTTTGAAGAACTTATGGACCGCATCTTGATGGACATTGGCTATTGGAACCACATGGATTTGCCTGTTCAGAAAGCATCCATTACGGTTACGGATGTTACGGATGTGCCCCAACAAGAAGGGATGTTTGGAGAGTGCGGTGTATTTATGTTGATGTGCATGGAGCAGCTTGTTTCAGGTCTACCGATTGGTATATCGACGGCACATGTTATTGCTGCTACTCAGTTTTGCACTAGGATGGCCATGATATATTATGGATCTTCTAGAAAGGCAATTTTTAGTTAGTCCAATTTGTAGGTTTTTAGTGACATTTAATATGTATTGTTTCATCACGATTGGTAAACATTATATTTTCGTTTATGTTAACAAAATGTCCCCTAATTATTAAACATAAACAAACCAGCAAGCAAATAGTACATATTATATAGATTAATCATAATAAACAAGCAAATATAAAACTTATTACATAGATAAACTCATAAATAATGCATAAACTTACTACTTGATTAATCAAGAATTATTAAATTCAAACATTTGGAATATCATTTGGAAATTTTGCTTTTTCTTGAATCAACCAGTCATAATTTTTTTGTATGTTTTTGAGAATCTTTTTCATTTTAACATCTTATTTGTTGGCGTACTCTATTGCATCTCGTACCCAAACCCTTGCAGTTTTTATGTCGCGTTCTTTGTCTTGAACCGACCTCATTTTAGACCAAATATCGGCTTGTAAGTTATCCAACCGTTTCCTATCTTCTTCAATGCCTTTAATCTCATTCTTGATCCCTTCTTCTTTTATTAACAATTGCAATCGCTACTCTTGTGACATCAACCACCATTTTTCTTGAGGGGTGGACATGATTGTATGTGTATGAGGGTTATAGAATAACCAGTATTATACGATTTGTAAATCTCGAACGTATACATATAAGTCTCTATATATAATTGACAACTTAACTACTTTTTATAGGCTTTGACTACTATCAAATAGCTTTTGACTACTATATTATGTGGTGTCATATCGTACCAAGACATTACTGTAATTTGACTAAATTCTTATAGGATTTGACTAATGTCTACTAGCGATTGACTACTACTTCATGTGTAGTCTTATCATACAGTGAGTATTCGACACATGATTGTTATTTGACTACTTTTTTATAGGTTTTGACTATTGTCTATTAATATTTGACTACTAATTTATTCGATTGACTACTTTTTATAGGTTTTGACTATTATCTTCTACCCGTTAACTATTATCTAATGTCATATTTAATGTAAATATGTTATCAATTCAGAAATCAAAGAAACAATAAAAAAATTGAAGTGTGAAAATGACATAAAGATCAGAGGAGATGAAAAGGATCCTGGAAAATTTTAATTGGCCATCTACGTCCAACAATAAGCCTCCTTTGGAGTCAATTTCCCATAACGTTTCAACCAATCCCTCTCCCAATGTCGATCTTCCTATATTAGGGGAGAAGATGGATGAGGAAGTGAAAAAATTGTTGTTAAAAAGAGAAACTAATGTGGATAAGGCTTATGAAGATTATGGTTTCCAACGAAACCTTCTAGACAACTATTGGGATGACATTGACCATAAAAGGAATTGGATAATAAGTATTAGGCAAGAAATCCAATCTACTGAGAGTTCGATCCGCTCTAGTGAATAAATTATTTGAAAGCTAAAGAATGAATTAGCACTTCGTGAGTACTATTTGGAGAAAAAAAGGAAGTCATCGATATGAAAAAAGAGTATCCGTACGAATTTCCGATGTGGGAAGAAGATGAGTAGTATTTTAATAACGTGCTTGTTTGTTGAAGTAATTTTAATGTAATATATGTCTATGTATGTCTTTCATTTGTAATTTTAAGGTAATATATTTGTATCTTTGCTTTTTATTAGTGGTTGGTTAGGAAAAAAAATTGTAAGAGTTTTCATTTTAAACAACACAAACAAATGGAAAATATATTACAAAGACAATGGAAAATATATTTCAAAAGATTATAAACACAATGTCAAATATATTACAAACACAATAGAAAATAGATTGCATAAACAATGACAAATATATTACAAACATCATTATTTAAAGGGAAGAAAAATTACATTGGCAATAAAACAGCCATCAACGGGTTTGGTATTTCCCTTTCAGATGGTGGGGGAAGAGGGTGAATGGTTTGTGTTTGGTAGACAAGCTGAAATACATTAGCATGGTAATATACTTGAACAATATCAACTAATTCATGCATGTTTGAATGACGTGCTACTAAGATATCGTGACAACATGCTATACCGAGACTGCGCCATTTGCCACATGAACAAGTATGACCGTTAAGGTTTACAACACAAGTTGTTTTAAAATCAGAAACTAGATAAACATATGTCGGCAAGGGAGATAAGATCTATTGGGGGGTCTATGTTGCTTGCCAACCAACAAACTTTTGCATCCTTCTTTGAAGCACCATTTGAGCATACAATGTTAGTACAGTAGTCAAACTCCCTGAAAAATAAATATGGTTATAAAAGGTTGTTGTAGTGGTTATTTAATACTTTTATATTGCACCCGAAAATTTACCTGCCATTATACTTCGTTCAAAAAAATTATTTTGCATGTACTCACGAATTCCCTCGATAAGTGTTATTATCGGTACATTACGTTGACTGAGCGATAATACTGAAAAATATTGAGGAACTTCCAAGTTGAGTACATTCCAACGGATTATAGGGAAATAAGCTCTTGCCCATTTCAGATGACCGATATTCATAAGCACTTCACGAGCATCACGGCTTATCCTAGAAAAACATTGTTCAAAAATAGACATAGTGTAGGATTTTAATGTTATCCAGAACAAAGTTTCCAATGATCTTCCAAAGCCTACTCTTGTGTGTAAATATTCATCGACGCTCTTACAAGTGTAACCATGATAAGAATCAGTGAAAACATTATCTATGCAAGAACTAAGGACATCGTCCATATTTGTCACACACCCCGAAACCGACGGCGAAAACGTTCTGGGGCGGAGGACGTCATACGTAGTATCACAACCATTGTACATAGTAAGCATAGTAAACACAACCATTACGTTACATAAGAATATTTACATTTGTTTGAAAGCGGAGAAATACATAGTTTATATACATCAGTATAAACAAAAGTATAGACGAGACTTCTATATGCACCGTCTTCTCCAAAAGTAAGCGTGATGTAACGACCCGTCTCTGGTATGTTGCTTTTATAGTATTTATTTTTGAAGTTTGTAGAGGAACTCGGCGAGTCTATGTCGCGACTCGTCGAGTAGGGTCGCGTTTTTGATCGGCGACTCGGCAAGTCCATATTCGGGACTCGGCGAGTCGGCCTGCCAGGTAGAAACCCTAAATCCCCGGGTTTGCACCCTATTTAAACCACCTTATCAGCCCCAAACTCGCCTCTTTCATCCCCAAAACGTTATCTAAGCAAACCCTAATCATCCCATTGAGTTTTTGAGCATTCTTGGTGTAATTCTTGAAGTTTTGAAGAGAAGAAGAAGGCTAAATCCAAAGAAGAAGAAGAAGATCCAAGTCCTTGCACCCATCTCAGAGTACTTTGAGGTAATGATCAGTTTATTCCCGTCTTGTTGATAGATTCCCCTTTATAAGCATATTTAGCCCATTCTTTAGCTTGTTCATAGTAGAGAAATCTTATTGGATGGATTAGCTTTCGAATCTAGCCATGTTTCAGTTCCAAAAACGTAGATCTATCAACTTTATGGAGCCATTTTTCATGATAGCCCTAGATCTACTCTTCCAAGTGCCTTTCTAGCCTTTATACCCTTTTGTATGCTTTTATACACGTAAAGTTGGGAACTTTACGTGGTAAACCAGCCTTAGGAGCTCAGGTCTATATATTGTATTCAGTGGTTTTGAGCAGAATCGCATTTTTAGAAGTTGCATGCATGAGACTCGGCGAGTCGTTCTTCGGACTCGGCGAGTTGAGCCGTGTGTCCCCGATTCTTCCCCTTTGAATGATTCCGAGTGGGGACCAGTGAGTAGTGTATGGACTCAGTGAGTTAGAGGTTAGACTCAGCAATGGAAGGACTCAATGAGTTGTTCATACAACTCGGCGAGTCCAAGGTAATCTTCTTATGATTCAAGAACAACTCGTCGAGTTATTCATACGACTCGGCGAGTCGGATGCAGATGACCTGAGTGTTGATATAGAATGGGAACTCATCAAGTGTATGCCATACTCGACGAGTAGCAGCGAGCAGGGTTGAGAAATGAGAGTAGGGACTCGGCGAGTTAGCGGCCCAACTCGGCGAGTCAGGTCAACTGTAAAGTTGACTCTGACTAGGAGAGTTGACTTTAGCCAGGGGTAAAAGAGTCATTTTACCCCAATACAGTTATTAGTATTTGATTGAGTGTATTTGTGGAATTGTAGTCGGGGAGATACCGGAGTAGCAGCAGATAGTTCCCGGAGCCACACACTCAACAGCCAGATCACGAGGTGAGTTTCCTTTCAGTAGCAACGGGTCTAAGGCCACAATGCCGTCCTGTTTAGCTAGTATTAGTTTCCGGACTTCGGTCTGATGCAAATTTTAGTATGTTTGATGCCTTCGTGGCTCAAACAGGATTTCTGTGTTATGTGTTTCGGGTTACAGCCCGATGTAGTATGCTATCTATGTGCCCATGTTAGTTGATATGCTTATGTGATGCCATGTTCAGTAGTTCCGGACTTCTCCGATGCAGTCAGTTCCGGACTTCGGTCCGATGCAGTTAGTTCCGGACTTTGGTCCGATGCAGGAGGCAAGGCCTCAGTAGTTCCGGATTTCGATCCAATGCAGAGCGCAAGGCCCTGGTTAGTTCTGGACTTTGGTCCGACGCAATTTCCGGACTTCGGTCCGATGCAGTGGGCAAGGCCTAGTATGTGTTTATATGTATTGTATGGTATGTGGTAGTTTGGGGGAGCTCACTAAGCTTTGTGCTTACAATTTCAGTTTTGGTTTCAGGTACTGCCGCAAGCAAAGGGAAGAGTTCGGGTTGATGGCATCGCACACACCACAGCTTCAGCTGTCCTGGGAGTTGTTTTGGTTTTTCATAGATGTGATTGATACAGTCTTGATACAGTTTACTCATAACACTTTACTTTTGTTTGTGAGATATTGACGTACGAGTTTTATCTTATGATTTTATCATGGTGTTTTTAGTAATTATTAAACAAAAACTTTTGGGTCGTATTTTGGGATGTTTCACGTGATACCTGTCTAACGTGAACCCGAGAATACAAGCAGTTTTAGAAATATCAGCATAAAGCTAGTGAGTTCATAAGCGGTTGAGTTCTGGTAAAAGAAAATGTTCCTTTGATTTTATGAAAAGTTGTTTCCCAAGAAAATCTCATATTTTCTTATAAAGAAGTTTGATTATCCATTTGTTATATAACCTTCTTATGAAAAAGATAAGTTATCCCAGGAAAAACCTATATTTTCCTTTTAAAAGTTGATGATTTATTATCCATACACGAGTATCTACTATACTTAGACAAAAGTTTTCTTTTCGAAGCTCTGGTTACACCTAAAGGAGTATATTAGCTATATTTTCGAAGCTCTGGTTACACCTAGAGGACTACATTAACCGTATTTTCGAAGCTCTGGTGTCACCCAGAGGAGTACATTAGCTGTATTTTCGAAGCTCTGGTGACACTCAGAGGAGTACATTAGCCGTATTTTCAAAGCTCTGGTGACACCCAAAGGAGTACGTTAGCCATATTTTCGAAGCTCTGGTGACACCCAGAGGAGTACGTTAGCCGTATTTTTGAAGCTCTGGTGACACCTAGAGGAGTACATTACCCGTATTTTTGAAGCTCTGGTGTCACCCAGAGGAGTACGTTACCCGTATTTTCGAAGCTCTGGTGTCACCCAGAGGAGTACGTTATCCGTATTTTCGAAGCTCTGGTGACACTCAGAGGAGTACGTTAGCCGTATTTTCGAAGCTCTGGTGACACTCAGAGGAGTACATTAGCCGTATTTTCGAAGCTCTAGTGACACTCAGAGGAGTATAATAATAATAATAATAATAATAATAATAATAATAATCCCATTTTATGATTGGCATGAATCTTAGTAAATTATAAAATATAACATTTTATGATGAGGTTCACAAGTTCCTTGTTTAGTTTTGAAAACTAACTCTACAAGTTAATTTCTAAGTCGGTTGATAAATCGGTTTTCTATGTTAAAAGCATACTAAACATGTAAGATATCATACGAAATAATAGGTTTTGAGTACAAGTTCCTTTGTACTTTTTCTTGTATTCCCCCTGAAAACATGAAAAGCTCGGAAAAAAGTGTAGGGGTATGATCTCACTTGACGTGTGTGTGCCGGGTAGGATACAAGGTGTCAATTTAGGACTTGAACACACGCGAGGATCCTATGTAACATGAAGTGATACATAATTGTATCTAATTAGTTATTGAATCACTAATTAAGTAAGTAAATACACTCTAATGCACAGAAACACTTTATTTCAAGTGTTAGGAATGATACGGGTTGCATTTAAGGAGTGTATGGCCTCGTTAAGGAGTTTACTCTTCAAGTGTGAGCCCTTAGGGGTGTTTACGGCCCAAAGACCATATCCCCCATGAGTTTACGGCCGTAAACTCATGGGAGTGGTGTTATTGGGTGTTTAAAGGTCTTATGTCACTCAAGGAAGGGTCCTAGGGTTGAATCAAAGGCTATGGAAGTGATTGGAACTTGAAATGACCCTTGAATGGAGTATACGGTTTCTGAACCACTCCTTGGGGAGTTTACGATCGTAAACACATGAGTTTACGACCGTAAACTCATTTTTTTCCATTTTTCATGTGTTTTGGTGGTTGTAGGTTAAGCATGCAAAGTTCTAGACCCAAATATAAGCCATACAAGGTGTTAGGGGCACTTAAACACCCTTTGGAGGTGTTTACAGTTTTGGGACATTCCCAAACTGTAAAATCATGTTTACTCCTCTATTTCCATGTTTTGGGGTTCTTAGATGACTCATGCAAGTTTCTAGGTCATAAGCCAAGCATTGGAAGGGTTTTGGAGCATCAACCCCCCCCCCCCTTTTAGGGTGTTTACGGTTTTGGGATGCTCCCAAACCGTAAACACGTGTTCTTGGGGTTTTTTGGATGATTAAACCACGAATTTGCAAGCATGCTAAGCTAAACAACAAGCTAGGAGGGTTTACTTACTGTTATGAAGCTTGAAAGGGGCAATTCTTAATCAAAATCCAACTTTTGTAGAGAAAGAGTAGAGAGAGAAAGCTCTAAGGGTGTGAAAAAGGTTCAAATGGTGACCACTCAACCCTTATATAGGGTTAAGTTCATGGCCAGGTGGGGATCCACCCAATCCCGACATCAAATGGAGTTTACGATTTTACCCGATTAAATGGTCGTAACCTGACTTAGTCGTGAGCTAGAAATTTTTCCGAAAGAAATCGAGGGTATTTCACGTGATTTTATTGCTTCCAGACGCATATGAAAATACAACAATAACCCAAATGGATTTCCCTAACTCAAAAGTTAACGAAAAACTTTAGTAAAAAAAACTTTTTTTATTAACGGAAGTGGGTTACATTGACAGAATAAATTTCGAGTTGTCACAATATTGGATATGAACGCTACTTCCCTACCCTGTCTGAGACTTTCTTTGAACCTCATCAGGAACCCGGTACAACTTACCAGCTTATTTTTAACTGCCATACCAAATGCTATAGGGAAAGTCAGATTGTTCCCGTCTTTAGCAACCGCTACAAACATTGTTTTTAGGTAGTTCCCTCGAAGACAGACAGTACCAATGAAGATTACATGTAAGAAACAATTTATAAATGCATGAACCTGTATTTTTTAAGAGTGCAAACCAATTAGTTTAAATTTACAAACATTATCAAATGTAAAGAAACAATCTAAATTTGGAAAACAAATATACCACCCATCCAATAGCCACAAAACAAGATTGGAAATGATCCATCTAATCCGTTTTAATGTGAGTGTGACTATGCAGGTTGGTGCGCCTTAGGTTATGAAGGTAAACATGCAAGTTGTTAAAGCTTTCTTCATGCTCACTATAAGAGAAACTCATTTCGAATCAGTTATAAGAGACAATTACCAATTACTTAGTGTGCCTAAGGTTGTGGAGGTAAGGGGCTTACCACATGTTGACACATATGTATGTAGGAGCTGGAAAGGCAAGGTCCATAATGTATTGTCTTTTCGAATACTATATTTGTCGTTTAAAATAGTATCTCCATGTAAGGTATCTGACAATTGGACTACTCTTTGACATTTTTTACTACAATTTCATAGACCTTGACTACTGCTTTGTAGCATGCATAATGTATTGTCTTTTCCAACAGTAGATTTGTCGTTTCAAATAGTATCTCCGTGTAAGGTATCTGACAATTGGACTACTCTTTGACATTTTTTTACTACGGTTTCGTAGAATTTGACTACTGATTTGTACCCTGCATAATGTATTGTCTTTTCCAACAGTAGATTTGTCGTTTCAAACAGTATCTCCGTGTAAGGTATCTGACAATTGGACTACTCTTTGACATTTTTTTTACTACGGTTTCATAGACTTTCACTACTACTTGTATCCTGCATAATGTATTATCATTTCCAACAATATATTTGTCGTTTCAAACAGTATCGTCGTGTAAGGTAACTGAAAATTAGACTACTCTTTGACAATTATTTGACTACGGTTTTATAGACTTTTACTACTGCTTTGTAGCCTGCATAATGTAGTTTCAAACAACACTTATGGGAATCCAATCCTGCATAATGTTGTTTGTCAATATTTTTTCTTATTTAAGTACTCTAATAAAATTAAAACAAACTAACAAACAAATTTGAAAAATGGCCTCCAATCAAACAACTTCTTCCTATGCAGTTGCTTCCTCCAATACTCCACATCCATGGACGATAAGAGAGGTAATGGTGGTAACACAATGTTGGCTGAACGTTTACGAGGATGTAACAACCATGGTTAACCCTGATTGCTTTACAGGTGATGAATGGACCTGCATAACAACTATGTTTAACCTCTCATTGGGAAAAGGAAAACACTGAACCACTACCAGAAAATAGACCTTTAATGACACGCTTTTTACGACACGCACTGTTTAATGATACGCAAAAGGACGTGCCCTTAAAATAGTGTCATCTCTCCAAAAAATTTAAGGATTTACATCACGCATTATTGCGTGCCCTTAATTTAGTGTCTCAAGAAAAAAAAAAATTAAAAACACGGAGGGCGCTTTATCTTAAACACGCGTCATCTGTACCTATCGCTTTATAATTTTAATGAAACGCGCTTTTAGTTAATGAAGGGGGAAACGAAATCCCCAAAATTTTGAAAACCCGCCTTGTTTTTTTTTCTTCTATCTACTTTTCATCCTTGCAATCCACTCTCCCCTCTCTGATACTCTCTCTTCTAGATCTCCCTTCATTCTCTACCACCCGTCTCTCTGTAAACCTCGAAGGTGAATCGTAATTGAACTGCGAGGTCTCCTTCTTTTTCTTTGTTTTCTCAGGTAGGACATCATCCCAATCCATTAACACCTTTTTTTCATTAAAAAAACCCTAATTGACTTGGCAAGTTCATGAACCAGATGTAGCACATTCCAAACTGGGGATTTAACCAAACCCGATAGAGCCATTGACGGAATCTTTGGATTCAGTCAACAAGGACTCTCTGTAATCGCACAACTTTCTTCACAAGGGATCACTCCAGGTCTTCAATCTATCAATCTACAATGGCCATTGTCTAGGATTATTCCATCTTTTAAGGTTTCCATGTAAACCTTGGACCTCGTTTGCAGGTTTCGTTCTCTGATCAAGTTGTTGTTGTTCGGGAAGGAATAACGAGTTCATCCTCTCCACCAGCCGACAACTTTCACTGTCTCCTTCTCCTTTTCTCTGTAAACCCTAATCCACCTCCACCACTACCGAATCCATTTTGTTTATCTTAAAGAATAACGCAACGAAGCTCGTATCTCATATCAAGTACTCCGGCGTGGAGTTAATAATTGTTCCTTCACCCAGCTTGGCTATGGATTCAGGATATGGCATCACACCCCTGCGACCGGGTTACTCTCGAGCCTAATAGGGTCGTTGAAACCCTCAAGAATCTCACTACAATGTTTTGTGACTACAGAGTGCTTGATGTCGTGAACTTGTTACCCACTGCCAATGATGGAACCATCACGCATTTATATATGCAGGTGAGTAATCAAATCTTAGTATAGTCATCAGTAAACACTTTGTTTTTATGAATTATGCTGCTTGTAAATCTTTTGAATCTTCTAAACACAGTTGATATTTTATTTTTCTACGCTCCTACAACTCAGGCTACTGCTTGTTATTTCTGGTTGCTTTGTTACTACATAAGACAACAACCTAATAATCTTTGAATAATTAATCACTGCCTGTTTAGGGATACTTTGTGGTGAACACCAACTGTTTGATAAAATGCCCCAATGAGTGACTCTTGCGTTTTCATGCTATATTATATATTTTGAGCAAGGAACTACACATGTTTTTATTAAATTTGAAGTGTAATGTACAATAGCAATAACATTAAGGTAGATTGCATGTATTGTTCTTTTATGTGTTATTGTGTTTTGAAGTAGTTCTTGCACATCTTGAGCAGGTAGAATTTGCACATTCGTTTCTTTTGGTAAAATCATAAATGTATTTTTCTTTTCTTCTTCCCTAATTGATGTTCGATCTGCTGCATTTCAGCTGCTGAACTTGTTAGATGTGATCGTTGACAATGCGGAAAGCAAGCAAGCTCCTGCTCCTGAAGAATAACCTGCTCAGATGTCCACACTAAATGCTGATGATGCTGGTGGCTTAGGCTCAAATACCAAATCACCCAAAGCTGATCATGCCTCTAAGCCCTCATCTTCCGGTGCTAATACAGAATATGACTCCCACATTATGCTGCTAAACTTACCACAAGCAGAACTATGTCTTCTATGCTCAATGCTTGCACGTGAATGGTATGTGATCACCACTTCACTTCACTTTTCTCATTATATGTTAAATCATATGGGAACATGTTGTGTTAAACTATAAACTTTGTTGTTTTAGTTTGTCGGATAATGCATATGCTCTTGTGGCGGAGGTATTGAAGAAGCTGGTGACAATCGCTCTTGTGTATTACAGGGGACTGTTTTAGACACAGCCAAGTCGCTTATATTTCCTCTTCCACTCGTGGCTGCTGCTCATCAACAATTCCTAGCAGGTATGCTCTACATCAATAACATTTTATGAATGCTAAAATCCAATGAATAATCAGTGATTCTTGTTTGTGTTCATATTGAACAGGCTGTAGACATCCATATGCAAATGGTCTTGATGGTTTAAAGTTCAGATTATACTCTGTTTCAACTAGGTTTAGTTTCAAAATATTTTCTTGCATATTTTGAAAATTGCTAATATTTAATTTCTCTTTTTTGGGCATGATAGTAGATGAAACATAGCTACCTATCAAGGGCCATCATACATGGGAATCATATGGTAAGTTTTATTAAAATATATTAATCTCAAACCTATAAATGCTTTTCCCATATCTTTGTTGAAATGAATTTATCTCATAGTTAGTAAAACCCCCCATTTGCATTTTTTAGTAAAATACTCACTGATTATTTCAAAACTCTTTTCTTTCCTTGAAGCAAATGCATTTATTTATTAATTTATTTATGGTTAATAAAATTGCAGACACGAAAGAGAGTGTTGATTAATGCGTTCACTGTGCATGATACATTTCCTCCTGCTAGATGAGCAGGTCAATTTACTTTGGTTTTATATTTTCCCCCAATGAAATTACTTAATTAATTATCAATCTTTCTTTCTATATATAAATATTTTTTCTAAAATACAAATACTCATTCTGGGGGTGGCAGGTATAATGGCTCTGTGTGCCACCAGCTCGTATTATGAACCCCAAGAGATTGCAGCTCGTATACTGTCAAATGTTGTTGTTCTCACAATTGATCCTCACAGGTTATCTTATTTTCCTTTAGTTGTATTAGCTAGTGTTTAATTTTCCAAATTAAAATTAAATTTTTTTGATTTTCTACAGTGATGTCCGGTCAAAGGCTTTCCAAGCAGTTGAACAATTTTTGCAGATAGTTAAGCAGTACCATGAAAAGGTTGTTGTTTCATTTTCTTTTTGGAATCCCTGGCTATATTATATTATATATCATTGGTTATTATTAAACAACGTGTTTAATACTATGTTTTTGTAGACATCTGGTGGGGATAGCAGTGGGTGTATGGGGTCCACAATTTCATTACTTCCAGGGAACGCAAGTATACTTGGGTATGTAATCTATTTATTTTGCTTCGTGCTGGCTTTAAAAAGTAAGACTGAAACCCAACCAACAATACATGCAATTGTAATTTATAATTTTATAATACAGATGGGCAACGAACTCTTTGACAACAAAAGGCAAACCCTCTGAACAAACCACACAAGCAATGCCTCCAAAATCCACGTCACCTCTTGTTTCTGTTGTCCCCACTACATGTAAACATTGTTGTAAAAAACACTTACACTAGACACAAACATAATTTTAATTTTTTTTATGGTAAAATAATTACTGGATTTGTATCATCTTAGTAGTAGTATCAAGTACACATACCCAAAGTACAACAACACTAGTCCGAGATGGAAGTTTAGATTATGGTGGTGACATGGCGGATCAACCAGCACCGGTGTCACCTACCTCGACTGAAGACTGGGGGGAGCTCGAGAACAGTATCGGTATTCATGAAGATGAAGAGATTGAAAAAGACGGGTGGGACGATATGTTGCCACTAGAAGACGAAAAGCTGCCACCTGCTCTTGCAAACATCGAAGCAGCTCAAAAAGGGCTTGTCGTACACACAAAACCACAAGGTATTATTTATTTATTCATTTTCTAACTTTTATGATATGTTTATTTATTTGTTAATTTTATAGAATTGTATTTGTTTTTTCTTTCCAGGATCAATTCCTCGGCCGAAATCTACGTCACATGTGAGCAAAGATGCATATGATGATTTATGGGGCTCAATAACTGCCCCTGACCCAACTCCTGCTCCAAAATTGGCTTCAAGGTCTTCAAATTTGAATGTGAAAGCAGCAGCAGCAGGAGGGAGTAGGAGTGGGTGTGTTGTTGATGAGGATGATCCATGGGCTGCTATTGCAGCACCAGCACCAGCAAAAGGGTATTCTTACAAGACTTCTCTGATTGTAGGTGTTGCTGATGCTGTCCAAAAAGAAAGTCTACACTTCTGTGTAAGTAACTATTTTATTCTGTTCTTGTTCCATTGTCTAGTGATCACCAGGAAATACGGGTAGCTGCAATGAGCTGTATTGAAGGTTCAACACAAAAAATATGGGTACCTGCAATGAGCTGTATTGGATCTAGTTAGTTAATATTTGAGTCGCCTTATAACATTTTATATTACCTTTTCTACAGGGAGAAGTGCAATATGGAGTCATTTTCTTGGAGAAGTGCAATATGGAGTCATTAATTAATGTATCTTTTTGTGAAGTTATGTTTTATGGTTGTCACTTGATGTCTATTTAAGTTATTACATATCATATACATCATGACCAAACCAACATATTGTCCAAAGTACCCTTTATGTAAACTTTTTTTTTCTGTTTTACCAATAAATTCTTTGTTTATTTGTAATAGTGTTAGCACATGAATTAAAGTGTTTTTATGGAAATTATCTTAAGGTGCATACATATATGTTTACTGGAAATTTTTTTTGATAGAGAGGTTAAAGAGCCATGATAGAGAGGTTAAAGATAAAGAAAGACAAAGACAAAGAAAAAGAAAAAGAAAAAGAAAGGGAAATTAGAGAACCTGATCGTGATCGTGAAAGCAGGTATTTTTTTTATGTTCTTGTTCTCTCTTTACTTTCTGCTTGTATTGATAATATGTGCTTTATGCTTTGTGGCAAGTATCTCTCTTTACTTTGACATGAATAATTATTAATACACCAATAACTTGTTTAAACAAACAGAAGAGTGTATGACAATAGAGGCAGCGTGAAATGTTCAAATACCAGTAATGGCCCACCATATTCCGGGTAATAGTTGTTTTCCCTGGGCCAATAGAGACATCAAATGCACCTGCTACAAGCACAACATCCAAGGAGGTTAGTTTCATATCATGTTCCATCACCTGCTGCTAAAATAATGCCTGATATTTGTTATAAAGGGAAAAACTCCAACAAACTATGCCCATTGTTTCATATTAGGTCCTTATGGGTTGGCAATAGCAGGTTTACAGGTTAAGTCAACTTTAAAATGTTGACTCTTCTATAGCCACAAAAATACTTGTTCAAGGACCTAATGTGGACACAAAAAAGTTCCTGACTAATCTGGGACAATAGGTATAGTTTTTTTGGAGTTTTTACAACTTTACCCCTGTTATAAATTCAATGGCATGTTGATTATTTTGTATCGTAGATAGATAAAATCTGATGAATACTAGGATATTTGTGTCTAGGATTGAACTGCACATGCACTCTTCTGGTAGAATTTACTAGAATTATATGTACAATATATAACAGTCTCCCATTTGGTAATGAATTGTTGCTTCCCAAAAAAAAAAAAAAAACTATCATAACATGTCAAAATCAATTGCTAAAGCAACCATGTGTAAGTTTTACTTGCAAACACAGTTTATTATACCACAAGAGTAAGCTTCAAATTGATCATAAAGTTGAGTAATATATAGCACTCTCCTATTTGACTTTTTTTAGATTCTTTATGATTTGTATTTAGTTTAATCTTCTATCCAAACCAAATTATCCTTGAAAGGAGTTATTAATGATCATCATTTTTGGCGCATCTTGTGAAATTGTTCATAGTTGGGCTGTTAATGTTCCTGTTTGTTTTCATTTATGCAGGTAATAATCTTGTTGAAAGGACTTATGAATCAAATGCTAATGGTAACAAGTTTAACACTCGAGTCCATACGATTAGATGTTAATGGTAATGTACAAGTTTAACACATGTGTCTTTGTTATACATACAGATTAAATGCAATGGATTGTACGTATTTTTTGTATATGATATTTTATTTTATATTATGCAATGAATTGTATTTTGTGTATATGGTATTTTATTTCTATTATGAGAGATTAAATGCAAATTTAATTTATACATTAATAAATATATAAATATATTTTAAAAAAAAAAACTTAAAATTACGATACGCAAAAATGTGTGTCGTCTTCATTTATGACATGGCCTTTCTTGACTGAGGCTTCCTTGATACGCATTGCGCGTCGTAAGGTTACGACACGCAAATGTGTGTCGTCTTCCTTTATGACAGGGCCTTCCTTGATACGCATTGCGTGTCATAACCGCGCGTCGTAAATGTGCATCATAAATGTGCGTCGTAAATGTGCATCGTCTATAGACGACGCGCAAAAGCGCGTCGTCTCTCTTTATGACATGGCCTTCCTTGACACGCATTTGTGCGTCGTCTGAGCGTTTTACGACGCGCAATGAGTGTCGTAAAAGGCCTTTTTTCTAGTAGTGAACACAAGAAGATATTGTTGGTAAGTGGATGGATTTAAAGGAAAAAAAATACATGGTTCAATCGATGGTATCATCATCTTAAAAATAGGTATCGTTATCCAAACAGCGACGAAAATCTTTTAGAAATGGTTAAAGATCATTACATTTTGGAGCCCAAGGGAAATGACTTCGAGTATGAGGATGCATGGATTCTAGTTAAAAATAACAAATATTTCATGTAGAAATCGCTTATATATGAAATGTCTTATGTAATGCT